TACTATTTCTACTGATGTAATCATATCATACTCTCTCAGACGTAGGAAATAAATATAAAAATAATTATTTCGTACATAGATCATACTTATTTTTGTGGGATAACCGTACGCGTTATTGGGTTGAAGGACAGTGCTGCAAGGATTTTTTTCGCAAAGTTTTGGCACACTCTGGGCGAGCAATTGTTTCTGTAGCAATCCGTAGCACTGATATGCTCGAAAAATATTCAATGATTTTCGTGCAGGTGCTCAAAATCTTCTTTATTTTCGGCTTATTCAAAACCGGAGTCTTTAAAATGTAAGACCTGTTTGACGAATGGCTTTTTATTTCCAATTTCACGTACTACACCCAAGTTTCATCACTCGTTACAATATTGTACTCACCCAATGGTTTTTCCATCAAACAACAAAATTTGATTAATTTACTGCAGCATTCGGCATGCAATCGATTTTGCTATTCGGTTAAATCATGCGGAATCCATTGAGAGCAAAGCTTAGAAAATTTTAGATGCACATGCAAAAGATTGTTCCTGTTTTCAATGCCTAATAAAGTACTACACTTTTGCGGGTAAGTTTTTTTAGGGTTCTGTACCTGAAGGGTAAAACGAGACCCTTTTATTAGTAATAACTAAGACTCCGCTGTCTGTCTGTTTGTTTGTCTGACCGTCAGTCACCACTCTGTATCTCATGAACCGTGGTAGTTAGACAGTTGAAATTTTCACAGACGATGTATTTCTGTTGCCGCTATAACGACAAATACTACAAATCAATATAAAAAAATCATTTAAGGAGGTTTCCATACAAGTCTGTCTTTCGAAGTCTCTGGAAATTACACTGTTGCCTGTCACAGATGAAAAAAAAGTCGCACCAATTGTAAAGAAACATGTTCCCAATGAATTTATTTAAAAAGTTCTCTAATTGATCTTTAAATGTTTCTTGGAAGTGTTCATGTAAACGGTATCTCTTATCGTCTAGTGTGAAGCGTACCTTCTTTTAAAGACTCATTAATAACTTGACGAGTCTACGGAACAATCACTTGAGTATGATTTGTTCTTACCAAAAGTAAAATGATAAGCCCAAAGTATGTAAACAGTAACATAAAAAAAAGGATCTGTATGAAGTATGTGACTCAGATCTGAAATCCAAGCTTATTTGCGCACGAATTTGTTGCATGATGTTGTATCCATCCAACGCCACAGAAATTATTTAAGAATTTATAATATATCCCTTTTGTGTGCAAGCAGCGTACTTCTGCAGCAAGCACGGCACTTTAACCAGTAGAAGGGAAATAAAATTAAAAACATCTGATAAATCCGTAAGATTAATTTAATTAAGTAATGTCTAACCGCGTAAATACAAGATTTTATCAAGTAATATTATGTACTTACGTATCATTAGGTGTTAATACACAACAGTCATGAAATAAAATCACTTCATTCCGTACAAACAATGACGCAAACTCAAAGAAAACGGATGTCGGCAGTAAATAGGACGCTGAATTGTTCGAAACAAATGGATTCGTCTAACACACTCGAAGAATTAAACCGCTCTAAAGTCTACTAAGGCGGCGGGAAGTGTCCCGGTGTCCCAATTAATTAATCCCTAAGCTTGGAGTTCCGCCAGTAGTGAGACCGCCGTTCGAACAAACAATGCACAATGCCCACTTCGAGCCACTGCACATTCGGCGTCTAAAAAGCAAACTAATTAAGATATCTGAACTGTATTAAGCGGTGGGATAAGCAAGCTTTTTTCAGCTTACATTTGGATTATATAATATCAAATATAAAGGACATACGTTTGCCAGCCTAAGCTTTACCGCTTCATGTCTTGAGTAGCTAATTTATTATTTATAATTTATTATATAATTTTATATTTATAATAGACTAGCGTCGTGATTTAAAAATATAAACACGAGACAAACATTTACCAGTGGAACGCAGCGTAAATCAACGTCATTTACATCACTTCAAAAGACAAGCGTACGACCGCGAGAGCATCTTAACGACTTGCATCCATTCAGGACGGGGCAATGTATGTACGAATTACAATAGAGGGAATTCATTTGACTCCGTTACACGCCACCGATACGCGAACGGGAGTCGTATAAGAACCCATAAAATAAATTGTGCAACTGTTGCCCCACTTTCAGCAGACGCCCGAGACAAAGGCGTCTGTGCATTGAAGGGGCACTTCGGTGCTGGCAAGAATTTCGCTGTATCTTTAAATTTTACGCTTAATCAAGAGTATTTTCCAGTGATTATTAAACTTAACGAGACGCCTTCTCGTAGCCGCCGTAGAAGACGTCGTAGACCGGCTCGTATCTATTTCGAGATGCCCGCATCCGCGTCTTAATTTAAATATCTTGTGTTTTCGACTTAATTATACGAAAATCTCGAGCTACATATGCCAAGATGAAGGAAAATTCATGCATGGTAAATTTAATTTAAAACTGAACGTTTAAATTTAAATATGGTTTTACTGTTAAGGCACTAATAATAATCTTACCTTTTGTATAGTCAAGAATGAACTTGCTTTAAGACTCTGGTTGAAAATTGTTTAATCGCTAAAAAATTAAATCTTCATATTTTCATGTAAAATGTTTATTTTACACATATTTTGCCAAAGTGATTTAGTGGTAATATAAGACTATACGAATGTATGTAAAAATAAATCTGTGTCATCGTTGTATACATACACTGACGGACACATACATACACATTCCATCTTCTGTGAAGAAGACCAACGTGATTGGAAGTATTATAAACTATAAGCAAGGGAGTGAGGTAACCTAGGCTTATTTTTTATGGCTGGCCATACATCTTTAATCTATCAGTTGTTATAAATCTCCATGGGCAAAAACAAACTCCAGCAACTTTTCACAAAAAAAAAAGATTTTACATATGTAAACTATCTGTATTCATTTAAGGATAAATAACTCATTAAAAAAATAAGAAATGTTTTATTTGTGTATCGCCACATATACCTTTATACATAGACCTTTAGGTCTATTTATTGCGAATCGAAAATCTGTTGGCAAACAATAGTATAACAATTCGTAAAATTAACTGAGTAATTACATTGACTACAAATACTCAGGAATACCACAGTTGTATATCTTAACACGAATTGCAAAGGAACTCGAAGTGAGAAGAGATAATTTTAAATCTTTGTAACAATAAAAAAATCGATACAATAAAAATAAAACTATCCCGTAACTATACTTACGTACGTAAATTATTGCATTAACAAATACACACGTTACAAACGCAGCGCACAAATACTACATAATGTGCTTTAAGAGATGATTGTTAGAGCACAGAACCGTACGACGACAAATAAAATGACTGTCACGCTATAAACGTAACCGGTGAGCGCCCAATATAAGCTGAGCTCTCGGCCCTATATGCTGGCGTCGGGGTTGTTCTGTATTCGCGCAAACTGGCGTGCCATCGACGATTGGTGGACAGAGTGAAAATTAATGACTGCGGGTCACGTGATCGGACGATTTGTCGCGACGCCTAAGCGATTACACGGATCATTAGTCATATTACCACCTGTGATAGCATCGTTTACGTATTCATTACTAAATTTACAATCGTTCTACGAGCGAATGTTTCATTCCGCTTCGGGAGCTAGCTATTTCCTTTTAATTTCATGGCATCGGTCATTGGCCTAATGCTTCGCCAGTCGTGGATTCTATTTCAAGAAAAATATTTACACGATGTGCAATGAATATTCCGGATGGATTTGTGATTAACATATGTATGTTATTTTTGTCATGAAACGGGCCTGAACAATACATATTGTTCAGGCCCGTTTCATGACAAAAATAAAGTAAAGCAACAGCCTATATACGATTCACTGCTGAGTAAGTGTCTCCTCTGTGCAGAGGATATTTAGTATATAATTATAATCTACCATGTGATTTGACGGTTGATTGGCAGCTTTCGTCGCCGTTTGAAATATATTTAAAGTAAGTAAAAGTAAAGTAACAGCCTATACATGTTCCACTCCTGGGTAAATGCCACCTCTGTGCGGGGGGTATCAGAGTATAATCCACCACGTGGTCCCACTAAGGATTCGCAGACTTAACATAATAAACAGGGTGATTTTTAGACGAAGTACATACTTTGACATAATGTTAATTGAGCATTCCATAATTCGAAAAAATATTAATATTTTATTTTGACAAGAAATATCCACGAAAATATCAATTCAAACATTGTTTGTTAATCCCTTTAAGAGTGGTCACCCTATTGATAAGCGGTTTAGTAATTATGTGTTCAGCGAAGAAGTTTAAGAGCTCATCAATAGGTTATTGTATAGAGACGGTAAGTCAGGAATTTCTTAAGGTGTCCATAATATCTGAAAAAATTAAAAATAATCTTTGAAAAAAATGAGGTCATAAGTACCAGATTCAGATTTTAAATCAAATTCTGCATATGCTCTGTTAATATGTCCGTCGTCTATAACATCATCCTGTATATTCGAAACATTTTTATTATTAATTTCGAAAATATACAGATTTCCTCACGATTTTTTCCTCCACCGCTGAGCATGTGATGTCAACACTTAAAATTAACAATTTCGCTGATTCTGGCACCGTGGATCGAAAAAGTTTACTCGCAATACCGCCTTCAACTATGAGAACGTAATAATTCACCACTTAAAATAGCATTTCACAATTTAATTATTCACCGGCCCTAAACTTGGATTTGAACTTGGGTAGCTCGAATGGTGGTACCTACCGGTATTGACTTAAAAGCGACCGGCCACTGAGCTATTCGCCAAAGGGAAAATGTAAAGAACTTTATAGAAACGTAAATGACTACTGTATTACAGTTTTCTTTAACATTTTTATTTTTTTTACTACTGTGCATATTTTAGAGATAATGGCATAAGAAATAAATGAGCGACAAGACAATTTATTTTAGACGCATTAACAAACACAAGGTGACTTTCAAGATGCGAGAGAAGTTCCCGAATATTATATGAACCGGCTAACCATATCGAACTAGAAGGAACAGCACAAAATTGCACAAGGTAATAAATCCACTGAAAATTGTGCTGGCCGGTCCACTTTTGGATATATATTTCGGTTTCACCGCAGTGTTATTCCTTGCTAGCAGGAACAAAACACCGTCCATTGTTTCCTCGCACGTCGGCAAGATGTCCTTAGGAGGCAGCGCAAATCCGTAATGTCCTTCATCGCGAAGCTCGAAAGTGATCACGTACCTATCAAAATATAACAATTTTAATGCCATTTTATCTGTAACAGTCATAATTATGTGTAACGCTATCACAGTTGAAAATGTTTCTATGGCTACAAAAAAAAAACGAGGCGCTAATTATTCTAAATTTAAATAGTTTCAAGATCCCAACCTCACTGGTACAATATTTAAAACTGAGATTGCACATTCTTGATTGATTAACAATAGCGATATATAAGTGGTTTACTAACGATTAAAAGAATATAATTAAAATTGTAAAGGTAGTGATGGCTTTATCAATTTAAATTTCAAAATAAGCCTATGTGACTTGTTCAAATTAGAACGGAAATAGAACACATTTCACTAATAAAAAAAAAATCACTGAAATTGTCAAAGAATTACTTCAACGGTGACAATCAGTTTCTCAGTATGAGACTCTAGGCACAGATATTATCATGATCATAGAGAAGCACTTTTTACATCTTAAACCGTGTTTGTTACGTGGCCAGATTGACCAAAAGCTCCCATTGCCTTGAATCTGGGAAGTTTATTTCTACTCACTAGATAATATCTGCAACTAGTAAGTACGATGAAGCCTGGACGTATGCGACATCGCTGATAAGATCCAGGAGAGTAGGCTGTGGTGGTACGGGCATGTAAATAGGAGGCCACTAAACTACGTGCAAAATTTGCCACTGCAACTTTCTGTGCCTGGGCAAAGGTCCAGAGATATGCCCAAAAAATATGATAAGAAGATGGAAAGATGTAGCGCAAATTAATGACTCGTATCATTATTTAATTATCGTTTCAATATTATACTTTTAATGTTATAGAACTATAATTTGTTAATATTAATACTAATACTATAATGTTACAATGTCATAATATGATATAAAATTTGTTAAGTACTCACGGAACGTGAAGCTCCTTCTTCACCCAACAACCGCTTACGCCGGATGTTAAGTAACCTGCGAAAAGAAGTTAAATTGACATCAAATTCAGCTTATTTGAAATAATTCTAGCACAAATCGAAATAATATTATAAGACATAAAGTTATAAAGTTTGTTGACTCATGCGGCCTTTATAATATTCAAGAGGTTTCAATTTGTCAATGAACAAAAACCAATAATCAAGTTTCCAAACTTTCAGTTATTAATTTATCAAATTTTCATTTTTTTTTACTTATGTTTCTTTTACAGTTATCTTTATTTTAAATCTAGTTCCATAATAAAATTCAATATTGTAAATTTACCTACGGTATCATATGCCGTTCCATATGTATAACTAGTGCCGTATTTTTCAGATATTCGGAGCGAAGCTTTCTTACACATGGAATACTGGAATATAAATAACGGTGTATGACTTCGACGTATGTCATACATTATCCGTGCTGAACGCACAAAGACTATTATTGTATCATCGTTCATTTTTTTTTATAATAAAAAGCATAGAAATGAAATCACTAAAACTTTGATATTGGAATTGGGTTCAGCTTTTGGATGAAGTTGATAAACATGTGAATTTAAATAATTGTCAAGATCAGGTTTTTTTGATATTAAATCCTAACAGTTATATTTTACAGCAATTACAATAACTGCACCTGAACTTTATTACCATAGATTAGAAGTTGCATTTAAAGTTAAAGAAAAGTTAAGCAAAGGCCTTCTCTATACAGAGGGTGGCAGGGCATAGTCTATCACGCGGCTCCACTGCGAATTGGCGGACTTCACATATCTCAGAAATATTTTATTTGTTCTTATTTCGAAAATATTCAGGTTTCCTCACCATGTTTTCCTTCATCACTGATCAGTGATAAGTAAGCACTTAAAATTAATAATTTCATTGGTACTGGCACCGGGGATTAAACTTGCACTTAAAAAGTGTACACTGCACATAACCCTAACGCCAATACCCCGAAAACCACTACACCGGACCGATCGAAGGTAAAGGAAGATAAAGGTAAATCCAGTGAATTAATGGGAAAGGTCAAGAGACCTGTACAGAGAAATGCTACTACGAAAATTCCCGGAGACTGCTCGCTTATAACGTAACGAAGAAGTTTTCAGGGCTCACCACTTCGTTGTAGTTCTCGGCATGCTCCTTCGAATGGGTGTACGGGATGATCATGTATTGGCCGTACGAGTGGAATGCAAAGTAATACGCTAGGCCGTCTTTCTTGGACTGAACAAATGTAGCCATGGCTAGGCTCTCGCGCTCCGAGAACGCGGCCTCCCCGCAGTACGTCTCTGACCACTTGTGAAAGCTGACGCCAACCTCTAATGAAATTGCAAACAAATTTTAAAATTTAAAATCGAAGCATGCTAGCACAGCAGCATATGCCATCGCATACGTAGCATGCGTTAAATTCGAAGAAGTTCACACAGAACAGGTTTTGGAATTTACATTACAACGTCATAAACTCTACCACCACATTGCCTGGTGAGTCAAATTGAAATATTTTAATATTGAATATTTTCAACCCATAATGATGATCATTATATCAAATTTAATATTTAACTCAGTATCATAACGAGATATTGAAAGTTAATTTGTTAATTCAAAATTCAAAAAAATATGTAGTAACACACGGAGAGACACAGAGATTATACAATTATATAATGCAATCGACATCTTGTAGGCCGTGATAACGTATTGAGAGATTAACGAGGGAGGACGTATTTATGGAGTTCCAAATTTGTTTTAATTTAATTTAGGTAAGTCAACAACGAATACACAATCTAAAACACAAAAAAAAGTAACGGGGCGTGTTCATCGGTTCCAGCGATAACAATTATTTTTACAACCATAATAGGCCTCATAGTATTCGCTAATTACATTGCGTTAGCATTCTGAAACCTGATAATTTGTAAATAACGTTAATTTGTAATTAAGTTACAGTGATAAGTGAATATGAGAAGTGATAACAAATGTGTATAAAAAATATTTAAATACTTTGAAACTTTAGCGTGGGTGAAAAATTTTAAATCAGAAATTCATAGGGCTTACTTCCGAAGGCGACATCGAAATTCCTATTCAGATCGACGCCCCGGCTGTTCTTCCGCCACAGTCGATCCTGTGATAAAAGGAAGATTGAATCAATCCAATATCCGATATCCAATCAGTGCCACGTAACAGACACAAAAAGTTAAAAAATCCATGGAGCCCATTCCTGCACTCTAGACGTGTGTCGTGTTTGAAAAATGGTAGAGCTATACTTTAAGGTAAAGGAAATAAAACGTCATAGACGTCGTAGCTTATTATTTGGAAGCTCGAGTTTTCATTTCATAATTTTCGAACAAAGCGAGTTCAAATTGATATTTGAACTCGCTTCGTAAATTAAAATCGATTTGTTCGAAAATGAAATTCGCATCATACCGACGCTATAATATGACGCGAATTGTTGACATAGGAAAGAAAACTTTAACTTTATCAAGAGCATGCTCATTCACAAATTAGGAAAGAATATGACGAATTTGTAGACGGAAATGTTGACACATACGAAGCTACACACAGTTTTGTGATTTTACGAGTGAACATAAAGATAGATATAGAAGAAATTAACCGTGTTATGAGTAATTTCGTATCCATCGGGATTCAACAGTGGTACGAAATACCACTCGTAAGCAACCGCGATTTCTTTCAAGGCCTTATTTTCAGATGAGGGAGCTTTCAAAATTTGATGAATCATGTATGTCACAAACGCTGGGGAAATCCACTCTCTTGCGTGTATTCCACCTTCAATTACCACTCTTGGCCTGCAAAAAATATTGTTTCTTGTAAAAAATATATTTTCTGCCAAATTACCATGAATGTGCGGACTGTGAGAATTAAGTATTGCCAGCGATCCCCGATTGCCCAGTATGACTTGGAGATCTTGAACAAGAAAGCTTATTCTTTTCGTCTACGTTTTGTTATTTGTAAAAAAAAATTAAAAAATTAACCGTATGTATTGTTGCAAAAACAGCTAAATAGGTTAGTTTGACATTTGTGACGACAACAAGATAACAAGACCAAAACATTTTCTGTACCTATTTACTAGCAAATAAAGAAACTTGAAACTTGAGACTTCCCATTATAAATGCCGGTAATGCTTTAACAAGTCCTTGAAAGTTGTGAAAGAATTGATTGAATGGGCGATAGTCACTCATCATTAGTACCGCATTTAAGGAAAATTTTCATTCATTGTATTCATAATGGTTCGTTTGCACAACACTGCAGAAATATATTACAAGGGTGGGTATATTGCAATATTTTTGAAGTAAAGAAATTTTTGAATATTTAAAACCAGGCGACCGCGACTCAAAAGGAGTCTAAAGTAATTTAAGATTAGATAGAGCGAAAAGAACTTTCTATTATTGTATTATGACAAGGCCAACCACTCTTAGAAATATTTATAGTTCTTCGTTTTGCCTAGGAAGTGACGTAATCCAGACTCTTTATTAAATTTCAGCTACACACACTAAGGCCGTTGTACATGTTTATTAGATGATATATATTCATGCTTAAAATCTGCCATAGTTCGATTTCCAAATAATCTCACATAAAAATCTGAATCTTCGGATATAATAGTCTTGCTATTATTTACCTTTCTGCACTTCCTCCTAAAAGGATTCTCACAGCTATTATGTCACGATTATTATGGCTTTTCCCGATGCTCTCCAAGTACACCTCTTGGGGATATTCATTAGCGAGATCGTTTAACCACCGGTGAATATCAGCGCCTTTAAAATAACTACGCCAGTCAAACTCCTCCATATTTCTTCTGACATAACTCTTGACGGTCTGTTGATCAAAAGCCCTGAAATTAATGAACATCTGAATTAAATATAACTGTTATCTTGGTTTACTTAATTAAATTCAAGTCAACAGAGTCAATACAAGGCAGCCGTGTGAAGAATTACATTTATGTATTCTTATAAAAGGGATGAAAATTATTGCATTTTTTATTTATCTACGACATTGTAAGAGTTGCACCGATGGATCAAAGGCAGTGTCGTTTATTGTGGCTTTCTAAGTAGGCCTTTGTTAAATAGTGAACGTCTTACGGCTGATGATGAACAGAACACACGTACACCAGAAGTGATCATTTATGTAATAATAGTAAAATAAATAATGAAATCCTTCCATTACAGATCACATGAAAGAGCGATGGGCAAAAATCACAAATGTTGTTTAGTAGTGGAGAAATTAGTATTGAATGTGATGTTTAGTATATCACTATGAAACAGAAATAATGCCTTTCTCTAAATTTTGCTAATACTCACTTCTGTATGTCTTCCATGATTCTGATCAAGTGTACACCCAAACGTTCTGCGTCTTTCGTTAACTGTGACCTACCTTCTGGCGATATGACAAACTCTACAGTTTTGTTCACCTGACCTGGTTCTTTCCAGAAGTTCACATCATACACCGATGATAGCTCTTTGAAGAACTTAAGCTGTTTATTATTCACTGGCTGAGCTCTGTACAGGGTGTAGTTGAAATACTTCTTTTGAGAAAAACTCTGTATTGGTATGATCATTAAATACAGAATAATGAATAGTGCAGCCATTAAGATAAATCCATAAAATATATATGAATTTATATAAAATATATATTTAATATTGATAACAGTCCCATTACGGAAAATTTGTCAAATTGACGTATAAGTTGTTTTTCGATGCGTGTCCATAGATTACATACTTAGTTGTCAATTAATTTTTCAAAATATCACAAAACTGTGTGACTATGACTTGTAATGGATTTTGTCATACTCATAAGTGTTATTGATATTATTGACTATTATTGACAAATTTCTATAGCAACGAGTGACAATAATAATAATAATAATAATAATAATGGGTCTGGTTGGGTCCTATTTATATATGTATTATATAAAATATTTATTTATATATATATTATATATATATATATATATATATATATATGTTTATTTATATCCATAATATTTATTTTATATATGCAATATATATCTATATCTTTATTTTTTATTTTTATTTATAAACCCAACCAGACGAGAAAACAAATGAATATCCCCCCAATAATAATAAATCTTTATTTCAGACCAGGGTCCATATTTGGTTAGTACAAAACAAAATGAAAAAATCAATAAAGGGAAAATAAATTAAAAATAAATCAAAATAAATTAAAATTAACTAAAATTAAAAAATAAATCAAAAGAAATTAAAATTAATATAATTAAGACTAAGATTAACTAACATTAAATACACACACGCTTGTTAGCATATGTGTGTGCACCATTCCAACTCCTCCAGAGTGGGCTGTCGAGTTTGCACGCCAAAGTGCTGAGAAGGGCATTGGAGCTGTTCACTAACCGGCTCATCATGGATGCAACACGTTTCCGGAAGATCGCGTAGAAAGTCGTCTACACGAGCCTCCGCAAACATTGCAGATGCACTGCAGTGACGCGGCTTCCCCAATACCGCTCTCAGCACATTGTTGTACTGCACACGAAGAGTTCTGAAGGTCCGCTGCGTGTAGTCCGCCCACAGACTGCACGTGTAAAAGGTTTGGCAGTAGGCTCTAAACAGCGTTAATTTTACCTCTGAATTACAACGCGCAAATCTGCGGGCCAACATATTGCCCCGGACCGACAGCGCCCTTCGCTCCCTCTCTATATCACCGTCGTCCACGAGGCGCTCGTTAACTATATGGCCGAGATACTTGAACTCCGCCACCTGTTTCAGGGGAATACCACACAATTTATGATTGGCTGAAAATTGGTGGCTTTGTTTTTTCCCCTGAACACAAGGAACTCGCTCTTTTTGGCGTTGTATCTGAGTCCATTTCTCTCAGCATAGTCCTCACAGATTTTAAGTAGCTTCCGGAGGCCACTGACCGAAGGACTAAGCAGAACCATGTCATCCGCATAGCTGATGTTGTTTATAAAGACACCATCAACTGAGCATCCGACACCAGCTCTGCTCAGCCCCTCTATCAGCTGGTTGACAAAAATGTTGAACAGCCTCGGTGACGTTGCCTCACTCCACAGTTCAGCTTGTAGGGGTCACTCATAGCGTCTCCCCATTTTACGACATTTGACTGGTTACCGTACCAGTACTGCAACAACGATAACAGCTCCGGCCTTAGGCTCGTTTCCGTCCTAAGTTTATGCCATAGTACTTTATACGATACAAGGTCAAATGCTTTTGACAGGTCCAAGAAGCACGCATACACTTGCGTTTTTCTGTCAGTGTAGTACCGTACAGTCTGCTTGAGACACATTATTGCGCTCTCGGTAGACAATTCGGGCTGAAAGCCGAATTGAGCGTCGTTAATTTTAGTAGCTTTCTTTAAATGTATTTCAAGCAGACTGTCCAGAACTTTAGCTACGATTGTCGCTAGGGATGGTTTTCTCAACACGGCTTGTTCTTTGTACTGCATCTTAATTATTCCCTCCTGCCGGCTCCCAAAAGTGTAATACCCAGTTTTCGAAAGTTCAATCAGTTTTAATTTACAATTAATCTCTTTTTAATTATTATTTAACATAATTTGAGTTGCTAGTACGCCTGAAAAGAACGTTGATTTTCATTTGCACTTAATGACTGATTCAGTCATTAAATGCAATCAACCAAAGTTTCAGTTTTCATTAGAAAAAATAAACTTAACACGTAAACGTAGCAAGATATGATATTCATATTTCATATTATTTACAAACATGCTACTTCAAAAAGCTTAAGTATAATTTTTGTTTATATAATGTACAAAATTTATAATTAACATAATAAAACCACATATACATTCGGTTTCCACCACTGCATTTAGATAGCGCCGCGCATGTGCGCCATTTGAAACGCGAAAAATGTCACCTAAGAGCCACCATTAAGATATGTGGTTGTGTTGGCTAATGAGAGCCTCATTGGCCATAATTTAGGCCTTATTATATATAAGGCATTAATTTAATTTGATGTTCAGCAGTAGACTAAACAAGCTAAAATGATGATGATGATGGGCAGTCAACACCTGAGTGAATAAAGGTACGTCTGTATATTTTAACCATGGGATGGCCACTCAACAATGTTTGCTATTGCACGAATGGGCTGGTCCGTCCGGGTTAGTACCACGACCTCGAAGAAGACCAGTGTGAAGAAGAAGTGTATACTTCTGTGGTTCGTCTGGTGAATGTGGTAATTGACGGCCACTTTATTAAAAGTTAGCAATGCATCGGCAACCCTACGGGTGTTGCAAATGTCCATGGGCGGCGGTTATCATTTAAAATCTGGTGAACCGCCAGCTCGTTTGGAAAATTTGACACATAAAAAAATATATACATAATAAATTCATTAAAAACAGTTGGCCCCAGTTACTTCACTCTCCAGACGAAAAGCAGAACTATAGTTCTTCCTCTTCACGCTGGTCTCCTCTGATGATGTGGCCGTCAAGTACTAGGCACTGGTTAAAAAAAAAATAAAGATATAAAAAGTGTCCCTCGATGGCTTTTCGGTAATGAACAGGGGTCCTACAAATTTAGTTATATCCTTACATACTAACATTTAATTAGTTTTGTTGGATTATTGGATAGGATTATTGTAACGCTTTTCGAGAGAATAGCGAAACGTGGAGTTAATTAATATCAATGATGAAATGTTATTTTTTCTCTTCTCCCGTAAATATGAAGAGAAAAACTTCATTTTTAATAGAAGAAAAGTTAAATAATTAAATTTATAATTAAGCTAAACTGACAGTAAAATAAACCCTAATAACATAAAAATAAAATTTATTTACTTTGAAAATATATAAGTGTACCAAAACAATTTGCGGTTAAAGTCGTGTGTTCTGAGTGTTATTAAAAGATGTCTTGAAAATGCACACAGAATTTGGAGTGCAAGCAAACTTTCCTCATCCGCCTTCTTAATCAAAGCTCTCGATATCAGGTTGCTTTAAGACTTCACCTGAGTTTATGATTTAATAAGTTTCGAGTGAAAGCAGGCACGTAAACTAAAGGAGAACTCTTCTCTATCTTTGCTGTAAAGCCTCGGCAATTTTTATACTTAGAATAATCTTGTATGTTTCCTGGAGTTATGCTTATGGTCTTTGGCCATATAGAATTTATTTTATCTGCACGAAGCCATCCTATTCATTGGCCGAGTCATATTCTCAGCAGTGTACTCTAACGGCTAAATGATGCGTGTTATGGCAATGATATTGATTCGGATCCATCGGGACAACTGAACAAACACAATACGAACACGTAGTGCTAACACAACCAATTAGTGCATTCTTGCCTACGAGCACTTTGAAACAAACACAAAAATTATACAAGGTACCCGCGTTCTACGGTGGCTCCCTCCACTCTCAGCCAACGATTAATACAGTAAATTTCACAGTAATGTAATGTACACTCATTGTAACGGTTCATAATCGATATACCCTCGTTTATATATTAGCATGAATACATACGCGGGCCTTCCCAATGCGCCTCGCTAGCTCGTGAATTCTTGCTAACTCACGAGTTCCGCGTTCCATGAAGCTTCAACAGCCTACGGACTAAAATTAAAAACATCACTTAAAGTAACATCACTTTTACTTTTATTTACAACCTACACAATAACGGTAAATATTTCTCTACGATTTCACGGTGGTAAAATTTTAAACAATAGCCACGACCACGTTAGCCAACCAGTACAGTTTTAAACAATGATAGACACGAATCCATTTAATTCATAAACCACAACACTGCCAATGGCGAAATGACAGGTGCAATTTCAACTTTTGCGGCTGCACTAAACAGGTTTGCACGGACTCGTCTCGGTCGTGCCGTCATCAGTTCTATCAGGCCTTCTAACGTCTCCTCGCACGTAGGCAGTATCTGTTCGTAAGGCAAAGCGTAACCATAGCTCCCATTGTCGCGTAGGAGAAACGTTATCACGTATCTGCAAGAAGATTAAGCCATTATAACGGGCCTCTTCTACTGAGCCTTTGATGAAAAATAGGTGCTTATTTAACATATTTATCAGTTAACAGTTCTTACTTGATTTATCTACATTATACAGTGCATTTGTGTATATACACAAAATATTGCGTGGGTGAATACCGACAATACATGGTTCGAAAATTATTCTTGTGCATTGCATCTTGCGAGTGAGATAATCAGGACCAACTCTTTTAATGGTCAGCAACGGATCTCTCTTTGTAGATGTCCGAGGCGGTAGTCACTTAACAGGAGCTGCCTGCTCGCTTGGCAAAATTTCAAATCATCTTGCGTGCAGATTAGCACGAAAAACAGAAAAATACCAAAAAAAACCTGTTCATATGTTGTTTATTTCACAGTTCGAGAATATTTGTAGTTTTCCGAGGTTAAACTATGAGTTAACTTTTGTGACGACTTTTAATTATAAAAAAACTAGCTGCTGCCCGTGACTACGTCTGCGTAGAATAGGCTGACGGCGTAACATTTAGACAGAAAGACAGATATACATAAAAATATGTATATAAATTATAGCCTATGTCTTATTCTAATGTATTCATCCATACATACAAACTTTCGCCTTTATAATATTAGTAAGGATTGTCTCGTTGAATTATCTAAACTATTTCCATTTTATAGTATCTACTATGAATCAAAAAGGAAAAAATATACGAATTATACAATACAAATCTTTTAAGTTGATGTACTAAGATTTATGTGTGGCGTTTTTGAATGGGAATGAAACTGAGGAATGTATAAACTTACTTGGTTTTATAATTGCTCTTTACCCAAGTTGTACTGCTGCCGGATGCTCGGAGGCCTAAAAAGCAGAGTGATAAACTTACTTACTTTGGCAACAGGAAATCGAACCAGTAACTGAAAGTTCATTCTAACCCAGTGTGTCATACGTAGTGCCCACGCTATATTTCACGCCATGCTTTTTATACATTCGAAGTATAGCTTGCTTTCCATAATTCTCCTGAAATCAAGTAATATTTTGGTCATGATTTTCGTTTCGTAATTTAAGTATTATGATCGGTAATATTCTGTATCTACAGAATATTACCGATCTTAATTAAGTATCTAGAATTAAGTATCTCCAAGGATAATTGAAAACATGACATATAATTCGTAGTATTCGTTAAAAAATGACTTAAAGAAGAAGAAAGCGGTCACCATTTCTGAAAAGTTCTCAACGTGCTGCACTCTATCGTCATACGGTGTAATGATCTTCTGGCCGTATGCGTGGAAAGAAATGTAGAACTTTAGACGATCCCGCTTCGCCAGTATGAAATCCGACAAGGCTTTAGATTCCGGTTCGGAGAAAGGTTCTGGTCCGCAGTAGTTATCGTCTTTGGGGTCGTTACTCGCATCATATTCTGATCAACAATTACAATTAAAATTTTTATCAGTCAGCATATTAATGAATTCTCTCAGTAAAGACAGCAATTATTATGGCTTTTGTAATGTTTATATTCAATTGAAATTCCCGACGTTTCGTGTACCGGTTAATAGGAATGTCTGGTAACATTAAAGAAGCATTCCGAAATATATAAGTAATTGAATGGCTTTTCTTGTTACTTATTCAGAACACATACTTTAACTGTGATAGGCTTACGCAACGAGGTAGGTACCAAAACCACACAGAACCCCGGCGTCAAGTGTAAAAGTTATACTTATCCCTTTCGCCTGGTGAGTGAGGTACTGGCTGGGGGCCTACTTTATTAAAACAACGCATCTGCAACCTTCTACAGGTATTGCAAATGTCAATGGGCGGCGCTCATCACTTATCATCAAGTTTACCGCCAGTTCGTTAGCCAATTTTATACATTACATAAAATAACTCACTTCCAAAACTGTGAGGAAAATTTCGATTCAGATCGACCCCTTCACCGGTCTCAAGCGGTCTCCGATTTTTACGCCATAAGCGGTCCTAAAAGATAAAATGAATTTAAATATAACGAACTGTAAATGAATTTGAGTTATTGGTTATTGTTGTAATAACTTGAAGTCGGTCGCTTTGCAACCAAATTCATCGTGTCACTTTTTTGTAAAGGTGTGCGCTTTTCTTCTTCTTTTATTTTTTAATCTTTTATTTTCCAAACGCGCCAAAAGAAGTTTAACTTCAAATAACAATCAATATTCTTTCAATTCAAATATTACTATCAAATCAAATAAAATATTTAATACACAGAATACTGTTAATTTTCTATGAAACCATTATAATATAATGCTCATTTGTTCGGTTATGAGCAAATTAATAAATACATTTACAATAAAAAAAATCATAAGAAGAAGTGGCTAATCTCCCATAAGGATGTATTGTAGTACACTATTCATTATTTTAAAATAATTCCACAATTTTGTCCATAACTAACTGAAAATTTCCCACTTTTTTTCTCACTATTTACGTTTTTGATTATTACGATTGAAATACTTGAACATTAATTTGTTTTTCGAGTATATTTAATACTTGTTACTATAAAGATTGCTAATGTAAATCGTATTACTTATATGAAATAATTTACTGACGGTTTTAATGCTGTAGTCGAAACCATCGGGATTGACGACCGGTATCAGAAACCACTGATACTTGTTAGCTAATTCGTTGAGTCTGTTGTCCCCAGTGTCTTGAGCGTAAACCAGCTGCTTAATCAAGTACGTGACGAACGCGGTCGAAATCCACTCGTTTCCGTGAATACCAGCGTCTATTATCACGTTATATTTGCTCTTGGCCTTTTTTATGAACACCGCATAAATGTCCCTCCCCTCAAACGATCTGCCGATGCTGTGCACTTCGACCCAGTGGGGGAATTTCAGGGCCAAGTCGGAGATCCACTGATAGATATCCTCAAGACTGTGATAGGAGTCCCAGGTAAATGCATCGACCTTTGGGCTCGTATACTTAATGATCCTTTGAGCGTCGAATGCGCTGAAATAGATGTTGAGATTTATTTATGTGCATTAAAAGCATGTTATTGAATACTTCAATAATGTGCAAATCAGTTGATACAGGCAAGTGTTGATTTTTGTTATATATTAAGATGCCAGTTTTCTTGTAAATTTTGGTTAAGTGCATGCATTGAGTTACCGTAAATATTTCTGAGCAATCTTTCTGATAGATACGATGTTATTATACAACAAAAATATGATTAGGTACATAATACGAAATTGTGTAAAATATATGTACGATACGCTCATTGTACTGGTCTTCTTTTAGACAAACATTGTAATTGGAATTGTTTAAATTAAAACACAGAAAATGAAGTGTAGAAAATATAGATTTTTTTTTTAAAATAAACTAATTAGAATTTGTATTAGATGGAGGTGAACGAAATACACAGTTTAAAGGCATAAATGTTCCTTGATAAAAGCAATAAAGGAATCATGTAATTAGAGTTGTAAGTACTGAGCTTTTACCTAGTTTTTTAAAGGAAAAAAAGAGTTTTAGCACGTCGAATGTTTAAAGATAGAAAATTCTATAAAAACACAGCTGTGACCGTCTTTATTTCTAGTTTAAAAATTATTCCGCTTTACATTATATGACATATAAATATTTATGTGACGAATGATATAGAACGTATGATACGGAAAGAGATAGCAGTCTACAGAATTGTAATCGAATTCAATTGGTTTTATTTGAGTGCCTCATATTTGGTGCCATTGTGTCATATCTATCTCGTATTTGTACATAGTGTCATTGACTTTACTCGCTTACCTCTGAATATCGGGTAATAACATTCGCACATCTAATTTGTAATGTCCAATTCTCTCTTCAAAGAGACCAGATTCCATTGGGTTGACTATAAAATGCACATCGTTGAACAGTTTAGAGGGTTTCTTCCAAAACTTCACATCAATGTACTTTTGGGACTCTAAATTTCGCAAGAAACTTAGATGGTATTGCTCAGTGGGAATGGTACTGTACAACGTGAAGTTGTCATATCTACGGCCCACGCAGAATCCGAAATATGTAAAGAGTAACAATAGGTTCACATAATAAGATTTCATAATTTCAATGGCACAAAAAATTTTAACGTTAGATACCAAACCTATTGACAGATGACCTTTGACATGAAAACGTAGCTGTCAAAAGTTTCCTTTATTGCAGAAGAGTCCCTAAAAGAGTTTCGTTTTAAACTTAAATGACAATTATCTCACTAAAGAAATATAAAAATGCTTAAACAATAATTATTAACAAGGAACAATATTGATTGAGTTACGGCTTAACAATACGAAGGTCAGCGTGGGTCAATCTATTTTAATAGAGGGGTGAATCTGTCGAACCAGCAATTTATGAACACGGTCTGTCCCTAACGTGTGCATTTTGTTTACACGGTTGAGCCATTAGACAGTGTCCTGTTGTTCCCCCAAATGGCAAGAAATCATTAAATAATATTAAAGAACATACAGAGACCTGTCAATGAAAATGGACGACCCGAATGGCTTAGTGCGTAGTGTACCTGCCTCCTGCGCCAGAGGGTGTGGGTTCGATCCCCACTACTGGAAAAATATTGTGTGATGAACATGGTGTTTTCCTAGTGTCTGGGTGTTTCTATATGTTTCTATATGATATGTATTTATTTACAAAATAAAAGTACGTTTAAGTATGTTTATCAGTTTTCTAGTACCCATAGTACAAGCTTTGCTTAGTTTGGGACTAGAAAATGTTGTCTACAAATGTGTCCTAAATATTCATTTATTTATTTATTATTATTAAATGTAAACACAATAGAAAACACCTGTACATGTATATTATAATTTTTTATTCTCATTTCGGATTTGGTTAGGTACATTATTTGTCACAGAATATGTATGTAAATTTTGTATTATTTTCATCTTCAAAATAATTCTAAATTCAAAATTAACGGCAAGCACTCCTACAATACGAGGAATACTTATCATCTGTCACTATATCATCTCTCAAATGGTGTTTATCGCTCAGGTAGCAAACAATATTCAACAGATGGAAGTTCATACTGTCACCTGAATCCATGAGCCTTACAAAGTCACCGTCTCGTTACATTACTCTCGCTAAAAGACAAATACTTCTACTTACATACCTTTTTATAAGACTGAAGTACTGAGCCGGTCGAGACGGCAATAATCCAACGTCAAAAACAACTGCATATCGCTATGGTAAACGCCATTAATGAATAATTTGCCACGCTTTTTTTTTTCATTTAAATTTCATTTATTCATAATGTATAGTGCGGTGTCCTTAGAACAAAAATGAATATGTTTAACCCAAGCTTATACAACCTGGTTAACTAAAACCAAATGACACTACTCAGTTTTAATATTTTTCCTAATGACGCAAGTTGTTCGATGCTGACCTTAAAGTTTAGTCTGAATTTTATGAATTTAATATAACATGAACAAACAGTCAAAAAATTCTGAATTTTTCAACTAATCTGAGGTTTCTGAATCACGAAACATGTTCATTAAAAAAGTAAAATATTGCAGCACATTGGAAATTGTGGACGCGTCTTTAGTTCAAGTTCCCACTTATTGGTTACAAATTTAGTTCCGTAGACAGTCGCATTTCGTCCGTTATTTTCCTTTGGCTGAAGTTTTAATGAGCGAAGTATACATTTTTTTACTTTTATCATTTCCTCGCCAGTGGTAATCTATAAAGCCCAACCGATTTTTTTAATTACTTTAATGTTGATCAAATTATTAGGCTATATAATTGTTAAATATTTTGTGTTTTAACACTACATAGTATAAAACAAAGCCATCCCGCTGTCTGTCCTTATGTATGCATAGATCTTTAAAACTACGCAACGTCTAATATGTCTGAATCAACAAATAAAAATGAATCAACCATAACGTTTGTAACGAGAATAAAATATCAAGTGGCACAGATATAAGTCGAAATGTTACCATGACAAAATTTATCGCATTAATCTGTTGTATCAACTAAAATATCAAATAAAGATTTCAAATAGCAGCCTCCATTATGTAGCATAATTTCCATCGTCAAATCAATTTCTAAGTAGCTACTAAAGATCCTTCGCAAACGTCCCACAAGAGTTCCTTACCATCCCGAGTTGCTGAAAATTTCGCTAGCTTTGCATCTAATATTCAATATTGACACTTGAGAAAGCAATTTAATACAGTCCTGTGTAAAGAATATTTATTACATGTTTAATACTAATAAATTTCTTATAGGAAGTAATATTGAAAAATTTCTTTTTGCTTGTTAAACAAGAATAGTACATATTAAAATGTAGAAATTTTGTGTTATTTATTTTATATGGTATATAAATTAATGTATATACGTTTTAATTATCGCGTTTCATTGATTATTTTAAATAATTTGTAAGGCAAACTAATATGTATATAAATTGTTTTGTGTTAAAAACAAATAAAACTATCCAAATACACACAGGTATATAATTTATAAAATAAATGTACTTTTGTTAATAGCTACGCCTATGTTTTATGCTTCACTTTTCCTTAAGCCTATCACATAAGAATGCCTAACCAGGTGTAGATTTGAAACATGTATCATCTATTCGAAGAATAAAATTAGGCCTTATGATTCTGAAGGAGAACTTTATCTGGAAGATGTTAAAGCTACAATGACTTCTTAATTTATTTAAATTGCCTGTTAAATAGCAAAAGTTCGAGATCCCATTAAGTAGCTGTCACCTAACAATGGGACAGAAGATTAGGAAGTTAAATAAAAATGTACCTCACTTCTCGGCTAATACGAAAAGTTTTAGTACCATCAAATCCACCATCTTTTTATTCCTGCGGATCACTGCGATTGTATTATTATGACAAATTCTTTTCTTGATTTAGTTACTTCAATGATATTAATACGAGTAAGTTCATTAATACTGGGCAATATACATATTGACGACCCGATTGGCACAGTGGGCATTGACCTTGCCTCTCGCGTAAGAGAGTGTGAATTCGATCCCTACTACTGGAAAAATATTGTCTGAAAAACATAGCGTTTTTCCACAGTCACTGTTTTTATATATTTATAATATATCTTTATTTACAAAAGAAAAATATGTTGAATAATTATATTTATCAGTTATCTAGTACCCATAGTACGAGTATTGCTTAGTTTGGATCTAGAAAACATAGTGCAAAAATGTGTCTTGCAATATTTATTTATTTATTATATTAGTAAAACCTTAATAGGCGGGCTGATTTCTATATCAATGTATCCAAAATTGCTAATAATTAGATAATTTTATAGCAAACGAGTTCGTGGTTCAGCGAATGGTATATTCGCAACATCATTATAAACTTTTGAGTTGAAGGGTAAATCACCCTTACCTCGCATTTCCTTACTTTTTACCTCACACAGAACACAAAATTATTAACACTTTAACAAAACCCTGGTTTTCTGTAAGACACTAGTTCCCCGATCGAGTAGGCCGTTCATGTGTAAAAAAATCATGCATAAATAATGATTCGTATTTTTTCCCACGCAGGAAGAACCAACTCCAGCCAATTGTATTGCATATTAATTTCGGGAAAATACATGGTAGGACACATTTATGTATAATGTAACAAACAACATGCGGCCATCAAGCCGCCAAAGGAATGGTAGTAAAGTTATCGTAGAATGTTAGTATGTTTGATTGTTAGGCTATATTCCCGCTTCTTTGGACAAGTTAAAGAAATTTATTAAAGAAAAACTTTATAAAAAGGAGTATTCTAATATAAATGGAAACATTAATAGAAATTAACCTAGGGTACGAGTTTACCACTCCCAAGCTATTTCTGAAAAAAAAAAAAATGTTTAAAATTATAAAGTTTAACAAAAATACAAAAAGAGGATACCTACTGAGTTTCTTTTGCCGCGGAACCTCATTACGAAATTCTGGTAGAATTATAAGGAGATAGATGAAATGTATTTTTCTTATTTCGATGAATAAATGATTTGATTTGATTTTACTACAAGGAGTTCAATTTGAATGCAATTTAGAATGGAGGTATACGAATAGATATAGCGGAGTAACAAATAGTAATACAACTGCGGATACAATCACGATTCAATGTTAATCATTAAATATCTGACTATTCTCGAAATGGCTTTGGAGAAATCAACTTAAGTAATGGTAATATGTACACAGCGAACGAATTTGATGTGACGAATTAAAGCAATATGTCATGTCAACCAAGCCCCTAAACTGGGCTTCCCCTATTTAATATCACTATGAATTACATTGGTGGTATTCATTAAACAGAAAATTGATGTCATCGATTATACATAAATATATATTTGTTTGTACGTTTACGCAACAGTTTAATTTGGCATAGAGAAATTATTTTAGTTTTCGTTCAATTAATTAAATAATGAAGTAACCGTAATTTGTATAGCTAATGTTGTTTCTGCCATTAAAGTGCGGATTAAACTTTGATATTGACTATTAACTAACTAAGGACATTTCTAGGGTATGGGAAATCGGTCAATATACCTCATATGGTTTTCTTTTTAGTTATGTTTACGATGGTGCATATCTTTTTGGCAAGTCTCTTAAGTAGTATTAAAACACAGTCTGGAAACTATCTTAAACATTCTTTTATATTATTTTTAATTGATAGTTAATTTTAAACAAATTTTACACCCTAGGGTTGCGGATGCGTTGCCAACATTTAAGAAAGTGGGCTCCAGCTACCTCACTCACCAGACGAAAGGCAGAAGTATAACACTTCCACTTCACGCCGGTCTTCTGTGAGGTCCTGGTACTTCTTACCGGGACGGACCAGCCCATTAGTACTGAACTCTTGTTTTGTTTAAAGTTGTGATTCTTTAATCGCTTTTT